ATAGCATAATTGTCCATCCCACAAAAGTTTAATATCTAAAAAACCACTAACCTAATTGAGTTTTTGTTTTCCGGGTTTTTAAATAAGATATTTAACCATTTTGACACAATTTATCGTAAGAATCACTGAAAAAACTCTTTGAGTTCAACTAGAAAAAAGAATAGGTTAAAATCGTTTCGTGTCAACTCCACTGCCTTTCTAGCTGAGCAACAGGGAGAGGAAAAATCATTCAGGCCTCCAGTAATGGTGCCAACATTGATACTCTGGCTTCCATCTTCAAAGCCCATTCAAGAACCCTTACGAGAAAGGAGAATAAGTTTAAAAAAGAGGGAACGGTAGGGAGGAAAACTGGATTAGAAGGTCGCAATAGGAAGAGGGCGAAGACCATGTTGGATAAATCGTAAAATGACCCTGAAATTATATATATATATATATATAAGCAAGTGTAAATGGATATAAATCCGACAGAATGAAGAAATTTTTGAAAAAAACAAACAAAATCCTTAAATGTAGTTAAATGAAAGAAATGTCGACGTCTGACGTTTCGGTTTATTAAACCTTTTCAAGACAATATTCATCAAAATACAATTCAGTTCAATATGACAAATACGATGGACATAAAACACAAGTCTTATTCAGAACAGATAACTGAAAATTTTTAAAATGATCAGCCTTCCGTCTAACATGGTCACGCCGTCGTCACATGGGCGACGCAAAATAATCACAAACTTTTAGGAATACGTTATGAAAGCGTCGCCCATGTGACGACAGCGTGACCATGTTAGACGGAAGGCTGATCATTTTTAAAATTTTCAGTTATCTGTTCTGAATAAGACTTGTGTTTTTATGTCCATCGTATTTGTCATATTGAACTGAATTGTATTTTTGATGAATATTGTCTTGAAAAGGTTTAATAAACCGAAACGTCAGACGTCGACATTTCTTTCATTTAACTACATTTAATGATTTTTGTTTGTTTTTTCAAAATTTCTTCATATATATATATATATATATATATATATATATATATTTGAACTTTATACTTCATGAGATCCCGATCCTTAGCTATGATTAATCAATGATGAACATTTCCTTTTTTTTTTCATCACGATTCTTTTGTTAAGATTGGAGGTTAATTACACATTCGTATTGCTCAAAGTAAACTCTAATAGTTTTATAAAAGCCTCTGAGAATTCCAGCAAGATATCTTTAATCATTTCTAAGATACAACGCTTCAGAGCATAATTTAACAATTCCACAATTTTGCAGTTACACGATTTGGACAATTTTGCTATTATACCCGTATATATATATATATATATATATATATGTGTGTGTGTGTGTGTGTGTGTGTGTGTGTGTGTGAAAAGTGTATATAAATATAAATAAATATATATATGTATAATTATTTATATATTATATGCGTGGTACTCATTAGAAAGCGCTCAATATCAGAGATAGAGCTAACATATATAATATATATATATATATATATATATATATATATATATATATATATATATATGTGTGTGTGTGTGTGTGTGTGTGTGTGAAAGAGAGAGAGAGAGATCGATCAAAGAACGAGTTTGTTTTACGTGTTATTGCACATATGGAGTGGTTACCAGTATGGAAGACTGAATCCTATTTAAGTAACGAAGACTCCAGCAGAGCATCTTGTTTGACTAAGCTTCACCTAATTCAAGGCCCAAGAGCCCCTCAAAGTAGAGAGTTACTGTGTGATCTTGAGGAAATTACACAACGTTAAAATAGGAGTATTATTGCATAAAACAAAAAAATGTCAAGCAGTGGAGGGCCATGATCTGCAACGTTCTGAGGGGACAGGTCCATAGGCTGTACTTTATGCTTTATGTGACTAGTTTGATTGGGAAGACTCAACGGCAAAGCATCGTTAGTGATTTTGAACTTTTAAAGGCGATCGTTTAAATCTCGGCAAGTCATGCGCCACTCGATCTAATACAACCACTATTTCATCTTCTCTTCGCTGTCCGCTTGTTTAAATAAAAGAACGTAAGTAAAATGGCGTAGGTATTGTCAGAGACGAGATCAGCCAAAGAGATTGATAGTTCGGTCGTTATCGATCTAATGGCAGCAACGCTTTTACAGCGTTTTAGTTCATAACAAATTCCGTTTTCATCGACGCTTGTCAAAGGAACAATGGTAGATCCCTGTCTTACATCTACTTGTATATCATTTCTGTTTCTTTTTACGACCGCTAGATCTTTATCTGTGCAAAGCTGTCTTCTCGCGTCAAGATGACTAAGCAGGGCAGCATCTTTGAATTCGGCGACTGCTGGCGTCGGGTGGAGTTGGGAACGGTTTCAGTGGAGATATGATGGCCTTCGAAGACGGTGGAGAAGCGGGATAGACAGGGAAAAGTTACACTAATCGGCGTCGAGAATTTATGTGATTCGCTTACGGATTATCTTTCCATAGTTACTTGTTTAGTATCTGCCGTTGGGAAGACATTTAGACACGCATACCCTATCTAACTTTCCGTCTAGCGCGTCTCCTTTCCTTTCTTTCTTGCTTTTCTCACCAGAACGCATCGCGAATGTGCCGTGTCTCTTCAGGACGTGGCCAATCATGTCTCTCCACACTTTCCTATCCTTTGCAGCTCTTAGTAACGGTTGTCTTTTAATATCCTTTCTTCTCTTCTGCCAATCATTCCCACAAGATCGTTAGATAAGAGGCCCGTTACTTCTTTCTGTCTCTGTTGCTTTCGATATGCCTTGTGAGGGTCGAATTCTCCAAGCCTACATTCTTTATTATGTATCCAATAAATTTCAGCTGTCTCTCATTCTGGTTATGTGACTTTTTGTTTCCACTTTGGTTTGGTTCGTTTTACGGCATATCAGCCTCAATGGGTTATTTAATGTCGACAGTTTTTATTTCTGGTAATATATTTTTAAAAAAAAATGATGGCTGGTAATTTTTTTAAATATATAGTTGATAATTTTTTTCAAGAATATATTGCTGGTAAAAAGATATTGCTTGTAAAAATGCATTGCTGGTAAAAATGTATTGCTGGTAAAAATATATTGCTGGTAATAAATTTTCTTAAAAAATTTATTTCTGGTAATAATTTTTTACAAAGTATTTCTGGTAGTAAAACCTATTTTTTTACTTTCATAGAGTTTTGACCCCAGTTTGGGGGTCAACGACTAGTCCATAGCTGGGACCCTAACAGGTGCTACCACCCGGGCCAGGGTGGACCTGTGGAACACCTGTAATTAAGAGGTGGTTCCACGCTCTTCAAAACCTCCTGATCAGAAGCTTTGTTGTTGGACGTAGTTTATCGTCTTATCCAGAACGCGGATGTAGTTTATCCTCATACTCTGGACGGGTTTCCATTTTCCTTAAATCTTACTCGTTGCTTACACGCTTCTTTCACGGTATTCTCAGCATCCTCCTGTAGAATCTCGTTTCTGTTGCCTCAAAGTGTTTATTTATTTTCTACGGCTTACCAACCTTTTAAAACTTATTTAAAGTCAGAAAATATTTTTTTGCTGGAGAAGAATTATGGTGGGCTTGGAGAATTTGATACGCGCAGGACATATTAATGAAGGTCAAAGGGAAGCAATACACAACCTACTTGGTGAGCTCGAGCAAATTTATTGCGGGGTAGGGTTTGGGAGAGACGGCAAAAGGACAAATGATATTAAGAGTTACAAAGGACAGGAAATTGTGGAGAGCCATGATCGGCAGCTTCCCGACCAGACAAGGAAGAAGAATAAGAAGTTCCCACTTTGAAGGTAGCTTTTCAATACCTTTTGTGTAAAATTCCCCAGACTTTTGATTGAAAATAAATTTCGATGAATTCTTGAATGCGCTCTTCATTAGAGAATGTTTTCCCCATCGAAGCGTTTCGCAGCGATTAATTTGATTGACTTGTTTGTATAACGGCATATTAACATTTTTATGGGTCATTTAATGCCAAAATTCAATTTTCTTGAGAGCTTTATAAGTAATTTCACAACTTTACTATAGTTAGTGTTGGTCATTTTACTATAAATATGTATTGTTGGTAACAGTTTTTATATAAAATGTATTGCTGGTATCTTTATTATATAAAAATGTACTTTTTATATATTCATGGTGTTTTGTTTTTGTTTGGGGGTTCACTATTTGTCCATAGCTGGGACCCTAACAGGTGCCACCCCCTCGAGTCTGGGTGAATTTGGGAACAGAAGTTAAGAGGTGGTTCTACGCCCCTCAAAACCTCCAATATTCCGATCCTTGCTACCGGATGTAATTTATCGTCATACCCAGGAATGCGTTTTGCAGTGATAGCTAAAGGTTATAATTGGTTGGCGAAAGGTCAGAAGAACATGGAAGACAAAGCAGAACAAATTAAGCTGAACAATTTGTTTGTATGTTATTGTTTCTGACAGAGAGCGACTTTTTATTCCTTTAATCCACTGTGTACGCTGCCACTACGGTGTAAAATATAAAATATATTAATCTCCAAGCAGGATTAGTATTTAGAATGATACATCCGTCCTCACAATTGATTTATAGAAATTATTTGTGGCTTAACCTAATAGTTATATATTTGATTGCAATGTATCAGGTGTCAGGGTTTATGGTCACATCACGTTGAATCACCGATTCTCGGACGATCACCCAAACAATCACTTAAATGGGGGTTTGGAAATAGAAGCTGGATGTGCAGATATTATGGTTACAGCCACATCACATTGAAACACCGTGGTTAAACAACGTCGAGACTGGTTATACTTAAAATGGGAAATGACTGATTTATGGTTACAGCCATATCACATTGAAACACCGTTACCCGGACGAAATAAACAACGTCGAGACTGGTTAGCTTAAATGGGTGATGTAGCAGATGCAGATATTATGGTTACAGCCATATCACATTGAAACACCGTTACCCGGACGATCCCCGAAGTTAAACAACGTCGAGACTGGTTAGTACTTAAATGGGTGACTTGGAAATAGCAGCGGACAGATATGGTTACAGCCATATCACATTGAAACACCGTTACCCGGACGATCCCCGAAGTTAAACAACGTCGAGACTGGTTAGTACTTAAATGGGTGACTGCTTGGAAATAGCAGCTGGATGTGCAGATAATGGGCCACATCATTGAAACACCGTTACCCGGACGATCCCCGAAGTTAAAACAACGTCGAGACTGGTTAGTACTTAAATGGGTGACTGCTTGGAAATAGCAGCTGGATGTGCAGATATTATGGTTACAGCCATATCACATTGAAACACCGTTACCCGGACGATCCCCGAAGTTAAACAACGTCGAGACTGGTTAGTACTTAAATGGGTGACTGCTTGGAAATAGCAGCTGGATGTGCAGATATTATGGTTACAGCCATATCACATTGAAACACCGTTACCCGGACGATCCCCGAAGTTAAACAACGTCGAGACTGGTTAGTACTTAAATTGAGAAATAGCAGCTTGCAGAAATGGTTACAGCCATATCACATTGAAACACTGTTACCCGGACGAAAGTTAAAACAACGTCGAGACTGTACTTAAATGGGTGACTGCTTGAAATAGCAGCTGGATGTGCAGATATTATGGTTACAGCCATATCACATTGAAACACCGTTACCCGGACGACGAGTTAAACAACGTCGAGAAGTTAAACAACTGTGGAAATAGACTGGTGCAGATAGTACATTGAAACACCGTTACCCGGACGATGAAGTTAAACAACGTCGAGACTAGTTTTTAAATCGGTTGAAATAGCAGCTGGATGTGCAGATATTATGGTTACAGCCATATCACATTGAAACACCGTTACCCGGACGATCCCCGAAGTTAAACAACGTCGAGACTGGGGTTTTAAATGGGTGACTGCTTGGAAATAGCAGCTGATGTGCAGATATTATGGTTGGTTACCACCCGGACGATCCCCATATCGAGACTGGTTAGTATTTAAATGGGTTGAAAAACACCGTTACCATTGGACGATACCCGGACGATCCCCGAAGTTAAACAACGTCGAGACTGGTTAGTACTTAAATGGGTGGTTTGAAATAGCAGCTGGATGTGAGATATTATGGTTACAGCCACATCACATTGAAACACCGTTACCCGGACGATCCCCGAAGTTAAAACAACGTCGAGACTGGTTAGTACTTAAATGGGTGACTGGGAAATAGCTGATGCAGTTTACAGCCATTTCACATTGAAACACCGTTACCCGGACGATCCCCGGTTCCGTCGAGACGTACTTTAAATGGGTCCCAGCTGGATGTGCAGATATTATGGTTAAGCCATATCACATTGAAAACCGTTACCCGGACGACCGAAGTTAAACAACGTCGAGACTGGTACCTAAATGGGTGACCGCTTGGAAATAGCAGCTGATGCAGATATTATGGTTACAGCCATATCACATTGAAACACCGTTACCCGGAAACAGTTAAACAACGTCGAGACTGGTTAGTACTTTAAATGGGTGACTGCTTGAAATAGCAGCTGGATGTGCAGATATTTAATATCACATTGAAACACCGTTACCCGGACGATCCCGAAGTTAAAGAACGTCGAGACTGGTTAGTACTTTAAATGGTGAGAAATAGCCTGGATGTGCTGGGCCATATCACATTGAAACACCGTTACCCGGACGATCCCCGAAGTTAAACAACGTCGAGACTTTAGTACTTAAATCGGTGATGTGAACGCAGATATTATGGTTGCCATATTTGAAACACCGGACGACGAAGTTAAACAACGTCGAGAAACTTTAAATGGGTGACTGGTTCCTGGATGTGCAGATGGTTCACCATTGAAACACCGTTACCCGGACGAAGTTAAACAACGTCGAGTTGGAGATTGGGGTGGAAATAGCAGCTGATGTGCAGATAGGTTACAGCCATATCACATTGAAACACCGTTACCCGGACGATCCCCGAAGTTAAACAACGTCGAGACTGGTTAGTACTTAAAAAAAAGCAGCTGGAAAAAAAACATTGAAACACCGTTACCCGGACGATGTTAAACAACGTCGAGACTGGTTAGTACTTAAATGGGTGACTGCTTGGAAATAGCAGCTGGATGTGCAGATATTATGGTTACAGCCATATCACATTGAAACACCGTTACCCGGACGATCCCCGAAGTTCAACGTCGAGATGGTTAAACACCTGTTCTCACATCACATTGAAACACCGTTACCCGGACGATCAGTTAAACAACGTCGAGGCTGGTTAGTACTTAAAATGGGTGACCGCTTGGAAATATCTGGAGTAGTATGGTTTGATCAGAACCGGACGATCCATAAGCAAAGTTGAGACTGACTAGTACCTAGATGGGTGACCAAGGGAAATAGCAGGTAGATGCGCGAGTAGTATGGCTTACAGCTACATCACATTGAAACACTGGTTTCATGGAGATCACGATGTTAAGCAACGTTGAGTCTGATCAGAACCCGTGGATGTGCGCGTATTATGTTTTACAGGCACATTACGTTGAAGATTTACAACGTTGAGATTGGTTCATACCTAGATGGGTGACCACTTGAAAAAAAAAACAAAAAAAAAACAGACAGATGCGTGAGTAGTATGGCTTACAGCCACGTCATATTGAAACACCTGTTCTCATGTAATCACGAGGTTAAGCAACATCGAGACTGACGTCAAGACTCATAAAAGGTGTTATAACCTTGGATGAGCCCTAGTATGGGATGACCGCTTGGCAACGTCAAGACTCATCAGTGCCTAGATGGATGACCGCTTGGTAATACCAGGTGGATGTGCGCGTAGTATGGTTTACAGTCACATCACATTGAAGCACCGGTTCTCATCTGATCACGAGGTTAAGCAACGTCGAAACTGGTCAGTACCTAGATGTGTGACCGCTTGGAAATACCAAATGAAAATTAAAGTTTTCTGCCTTACGTAATATAAATGTAAGTGTGTGCATAAGTATATGTGCAAATATATATGTGCATGTATATGTGCACATATTACGTAGGACATTATTTATTCTGTTTGAGATACAGAAATGCGGCACAAGGCCGCGAATGGGGAAAAGGACGGTCTTGTTCTGTCTTAACTTTAAACTTAGCTAGCCACAATCAATGACCCAAACATACCACAATATTCCTAACACCAAAGCATCGCATTCTTAGTTATCATTCTTAATACATCTAGAATAATTCCTCAGAAACTCCGAGAAGTCCTAACTAGTCCTTATACGTACAAAGAGGTGGGGAATAAAACACCAATTGAAATCTAAACCCCAACGTCTATTTACAATATGACATAATCAATGTACAAGAAACTAAATAAAATAGTGTTAGTAATACCACCTTCAATCGTTAAATGTGGCAGAAACATCAGTTAACTGGACGAAATCAATGCGAGACTTTAAAAAACATTCATTCGTCCAGCCACTCACTCAAACATACTCATTTAAACGCAAGAATTACGAAACTCACACCCGAAAAAACGAAAGGAGTCCTGCATTCACTAGAGAACTGACATCTTTGGTCACCTAAATGGGGAGGGAGGGGAAATTAAACTAAAGTAAGTGGGGGTAGAAATAAAAGGGGCCAATGAGCATACAACCCATAGCTAAGTTATCTTGATGGATGAAACTAAGGACAAAAAACAACCCTAAACTGACCTAATTTCGGGCGGGGTTGCCAATGTTCAGTCTAGTGGGAACAATATCCTAATGCCTAACGGGCATCAAAGTGCCACTTGAAATCGGCCCCTCTTACTAGACACAACACTCAAAAAAGATTTTCTAAGAGTAAGCTTATATGTGGAACGAGGGCTAAAGTACGGGGCATCCACTGAGATTCGAACTCACTATTCAGTTGGAATTGTTCTAGCGAGAGAAGTTTGCTAACCACGTCGAAGTACCCAGATATTTCATGGGATTATGCCATTAAAATATCTTATATCTTGTTCAGTTTTAGTAATTATTGTCTAACTGAGAATACTAATTTGCATATTAACCTTTACCAGGCAGATTAATGACAAAGTGGAAAAAAAATAGTTTGACACATTTCGCTCTGTACATCATCTGAATAAGCTGTGTTTATTAACCTTTTTTTTTTAAGATTTATGACAGGGTTAGGGTTAAGGTTCTATTTCAGGGTTCACTCGTAGAATAGTTAAAACTAGCGCACTTTAAAGTTTAATAAGGAAAAATTAATCACTAAATCTGAAAATATGAAAGTTTGGTTTAGCACTCCCAAAGAAGATTAGCGGTACAGATTTCAATTAAATGGGTTTATGAAGAACTTTTTTTTTTAAATGGCCGATAATGATTGATTTAAATCTTTTGAGGAAGGCAAAAGGGAAATGATTATTCCTTCCTTCTTAAAGATTAAGGAATTTAGCATCCAGTTTAAAATATGAAGCAGCAAAGATTTGAATTAATCATGGAGGCAATGTGGTTGGTGCCTCTAGCTTTTTTTTTTAAATAGTGATCTTTCAAATATAAATGTAATTCTTAAATTACTTTTTTGTTAACATGGGGCGTACCTGTTTACCTGTCAGGGCTCATTAGTGTTCTCGGTGGCACCGGTTAAGAAACACTGAATTAAACTATTGTTTTTACTGATGGAATTATATATGTGTAAGAAGGAGAGCGGGAGATATAAAAACGGACGTATTGGTTGGAATTGTGCCCAAAGAGGAAACACTGAAAATGGTGGAACGCTGAAATTTTAAACTTTGAATTAATTTTTATCAGATATATAGGTAGTGTTGTTGATTTAATTCAGTTTTTATTTTGTTTCTATTACTTTTATTCTGAAGTATCCCACAGTCTGATAACAGATTCAAACCCAGACATCTAAAAAAAAAAAAAAAAAATTAATTTTATTGATTCAAGTATATTTTACATTTTGACCGTTCCTCTCTTTTCAACTATGCGTTTCTATAGGGATTTTCTAAATCCGGCTTAGATGTGGCACAAGGCCGAAAGTATGGGGCACCCAGTGATGATCGAACTCACTACTCAGTCGTAATTGATCTAGCAAGACAAGCTTTCTAAACATTACACCACGTCGAGGTGCCCAACTATGGGTTTCTATAAACTCATTAAGGCTACAAACTGTTTCCCTCCCATTTCTCTTG